AGGAAGGTGTTAAAGAGGTTCTAGCGTCTCTTTGAAAAAAATTAAAAATCAACAGCTACAAATGCTGTAGCTGCTGCCTTTTAATAAAAGAACACTTACCTGTCCAAGGATCCAGCGCTGTCCTCACATGGGTCGGTTGAGAATGGGGGGGGGTTTGATGGAATTGCCTGGGCGATTCCAGCAAAAGTGGCAGTATTTACCTGGAAAAACTAGATACCCAGCCACCACCACCCCCGCAAAAAGAATGCCATCAGGGGGTTAGAACATAATCTGCATCTGCTAAGTATTGGTTCAGCTGATAATTTTCCACCCATCTCAGCTGATTGTTTAGTGAACTAGCAAGGCTACCCGTGGCTCAAGACTTGGCCACTTCAGCCAAAATCTGAGCCATCTTTGGGGATCTTTAAAAAGGTGGCCTGCTTGTATGGTTACTATTGATAGAAATGTACTGACTCCCTCATTTCCTATGCACTTTGGAATCATAAGTAACAGAAGATTTGGGAATGACAGCAGTGTTTTGATTGGATAGAACTGCAATATTCAGAACGGTCTGCCCTAATGCAGTGTGGTAAGAGCTGCACGTCTTCCCAATGTCCTTCATTTGAGGGACTGTCCCTTGTTTGGAACATCTTCCCTCTGTCTCTCACTCCTCCTCAAATGTTCCTCTTTTTTGGTATAGTGATCTGCATGAATAGCATAGTCAATGATAAACAAGAACTCTATGAAAGCATATGGGAACCCTGGATTAAATATATACTCTACCATTTAATGAAAGGTTGAGACCTTCTGGGGGATGGAAACCCCATTTTTATAATATTTAATTTTGTAGTGTTGCAGAGTTGGGGTCCTGCATCAACGGGAGTGGGTGAGCTGGATGGTGGCATATATTTTGTTCCTTATTCTTCTTCTTCGTGACTATTAGTAAGGGCTGAAGTTGGGACGTTTTTGTGTTCTTATCCCTGACCATCTCCATCAGGCTTTTTGTCTTATCCTCACCTCTCTTCTTTCTTTTCTCACTCTTATTCCCTTATGCTGTATTGTACTAGTTAACCTTGGAACATCAATATTAATCCTAGATTATTTGAAGTAATCTACAGGGATAGGAGGTACAGGACAATTATACACATATACCATTTGGTTAATGATTCAACTTTATTAAGTGCTGATACGGGTCTTTGATTGATAGAGATATAATGTCCCCAGATACTGAACAAATGTCAATAATTCTTAAAGTGGAACTTTACTCTGTCTTCAGCATTGACTATGTTTAATTCTTATGCTGCTAGCATTAGTAAATAGATAGGAAGATCAGATATATTGTTTTTAACTTTATTTTTTTTTTTTTTACATTTCTTCAGTTACTTCCCAGTTTCCATGCCTAGACAAATTATGTCATACATCCCAGGAGTCTTCAGGAAGGGAGGATGGGTTTTCTTAGCTAAGCACACCCTCCTGCCTGCATGCCTGAGCTAAGAGCAGATGGATTTCAGGAAGTAAATGCTACATGAATCATCTGTCCTTTCTCAAGATGGCCACAGCCAGAAATGCTAGGGGGTGTTTTTCAATGTGCATTCTTAGCAAATAAAGCATGGCAGTATGAGTGGGTGGGTGCGTTTTGTGGTTCTCAGATGCAGCGAAGTTCTGCTTTAAGTGTAACATTGTTCTGAAGACCCCACAGGTCAAGCTTCAATAGCCTCCTTCAACTGCAGGGGTGTTAGCCAAAAGGGCTTTTTCTCACTCCATGTACTGTGTAATTGAAGGGCTGCACACTGTCACTTGCTATAATAAACTTTATTTATCAGTACAATCCATGCTGCAGATAACCTGATTGGTAATATATAAAGGAAAAGTAGCAGTGAAAAGCACCTCAGTTGATTTAAATTATTATTATTCATACAGTTGTGTTCAAAATAATAGCAGTGTGTTGAAAAAAAAGTGAATAAAGCTCAAAATCCTTATAATAGCTTTTATTTCCATACACACAAATGCATTGGGAACACTACACATTCTATTCCAAATCAAAACATGAAGAAAAATATATCAAATTTGTGTTGTTCCTCTAAAAAAATTGAAGAAAAGTAAATATTAGACTGTTCCAAAAAATAGCAGTGTTTGTATTCTTCTTTACAAACTCAAACATTCACTATATAAACTGAAAAATGTTTGAAGATTTTGCTTTCCTTTGAATCACTTACTTAATATTTAGTTGTATAAGCACTGTTTCTGAGAACTGCTGTACATCTGTGTTGCATGGAGTCAACCAACTTCTGGCACCTGTGAACAGTATTCCAGCCCAGGATGATTGGACTACATTCCACAGTTCTTCTCTATTTCTTGGTTTTGCCTCAGAAACTGCATTTTTGATGTCACCCCACAAGTTTTCTATTGGATTAAGATCCGGGGATTGGGCTGGCCACTCCATAACGTCAATCTTGTTGGTCTGGAACCAAGATGTTGCACGTTTACTGGTGTGTTTGGGGTCATTGTCTTGTTGGAACACCCATTTCAAGGGCATTTCCTCTTCAGCATAAGGCAGCATGACCTCTTCAAGTATTCTGATGTATTCAAACTGATCCATGATCCCTGGTATGCGATAAATAGGCCCAACACCGTAGTATGAGAAACATCCCCATATCATGATGCTTGCGCAACCATGCTTCACTGTCTTCACAGTGTACTGTGGCTTGAATTCAGTGTTTGGGGGTCGTCTGACAAACTGTCTCCGGCCACTAGACCCAAAAAGAACAATCTTACTTTCATCAGTCCACAAAATGTTGCGCCATTTCTCTTTAGGCCAGTCAATGTGCTCTTTGGCAAATTGTAACCTCTTCAGCACGTCTTTTTTTCAACAGTGGGACTTTGCGGGGGCTTCTTGCAGATAGCTTGGCTTCACATAGGCATCGTCTAATTGTAACAGTACTCACAGGTAACTTTACACCTTCTTTGATCTTCCTGGAGCTGATTGTTGGCTGAGTCCTTGCCATTTTGGCTATTCGTCTATCCATTCGAATGGTAGTTTTTTGCTTTCTTCCACATCTTTCAGTTTTGGTTGCCATTTTAAAGTATTTGCGATCATTTTAGCTGAGCAGCCTATCATTTTCTGCACTTCTTTATATGTTTTCCCCTCTCCAATCATCTTTTTAATCAAGGTACGCTGTTCTTTTGAACAATGTCTGGAACGACCCATTTTCCTCAGAATTTCAGAGAGAAATGCACCGTAACCAGCAAGTACAACATTTGCTGCCTTCCTTCCTTAAATAAGGGCAATAATTGCCACCTGTTTTTCAAAGAATGAATGACCTCACTAATAGAACTCCACACTGCTATTATTTTGAACATGCCCCTTTCAATTAGTGATTCAATTACACAGAATCAGCAGCATGCATGTCATGACTGTTGGGTCTGTTGGATTTCTATTACTCTACTACACCTGCTAGTAAATTATTTGCCATGTAGAAATATCATTTCTACCAAAAACAGTGATTGATCAGGTTAGTGATGTCTGACTGCTATTATTTTGAACACAACTGTATATTAGACACCCAGTGTGCAAAAGGACTAACAGGTACTGACTACCTGCATGCATGCCATATATTAGACACCCAGTCGGCTTCTAGGTTTTATTGCCAAAGCTTAAAGTTATTCTAAAGGTTTCTTTTTTTAAGAAAGAATAACAAATATGTCTATACTTACCTGCTGTGTGCAGTGGCTTTGTATAGAGCAGCCTAGATCCTGCTCTTCTCGGGTACCACGTAGGCTCTCCTGTCCCCTCCCTCCTGTCGGGTGCTCCCACAGCAAGCAGCTTGCTGCTCTCTGTATCCATTTTTACATAGAGCCGCAGCTCGGCCCTGCCCCCCCCTCCTTCTCATTGGCTCACTAGCTGTTATGGACAGCAGCGGGAGCCAATGGCTCCCGCTTCTGAGTCAGTAAATGAGAAGAGGGAGTCTTGGGATAGTCGAGACTCTAGTGCACATTGCTGGATCGAGAGGGGGCTTAGATGAGTTACATAGTTAGTCTGGCTGAAAAAAAGAAAAAATTCCATCCAGTTCAACCAAAAAGTTATACTCCTATACCCACAGTTGAAGTCCAGAGGAAGGCAAAAAAAAACCAACAAAGCATGATGCAATTTGCCCCTGCAAGGGAAAAAAATTAGTTCTGGGGGGGCTGAGGGGGATGCTGCACACAGAAGGTTTTTTACCTTCATGCATAGAATACATGAAGGTAAAAAAAAAACCTTGAGCCTTTAGAACCACTTTAAAGTGGTAGTAAACTCTCCTTTTATATTTTTACCTACAGGCAAGCTTTTAATAAAACTTACCTGTAGGTAAAATAAATATCTCCTAAATGTGCACCATTTATGAGATATTCTACAGAGCAGCAGGCGGTGACATCAGCGGCGCATGCACTCTGAAGGAACAGCATGCCCGTGTCTTTCCTTCAGAGCCGTGTAATGTGTCCGAAACTCCTGCACACACGCGGGAGTGATATCATCGGCAACTCAGCCATTCAAATAGCCCCAGCCAGTGAACCTGGAAGGAAGACCGGGTGAAGATGGAAGCCCTGTCAACGGTGACAGCGTGCAGCTGCAGGGCTTCGTTCTAAGGTAAGTCTTTCATAATGTGCTAGTATGCGATGCATACTAATACATTATAACTTTACCTTGCAGCAGGAAACTTTTTTTTTTTGTTTTTTTTTACTTTCAATGAGTTTACTACCTCTTTAACTGAACAAGCTGGTGTTAGGAGCTGATTGGCTACCTGTACAGCAGCACTAGATTCTGAGTGCACCACTCCCTAGTGTGCAAGGTGCCTAACAGGTACTGACTACCTGCATGCATACCATATATTAACTGCCTCCCGCCTGCCATATAGTAATATGACAGAAGCAAGGCGGTTCTCTCATTCTCACCGGGCGATGTGCGCGGCTCCGGGGGTGCACAGCGCGGCAATTGGCGGTGTGCTGTGTCCCTCAGACAGATTGGATTACCGATCCACGGAAAGAGCCGAAGATGTCGGCTCGGTCTTGTGATCAGCTGTGTCCAATCACAGCTGATCACATGTAAACAGGGAAATGCCGGTTATCGGCATTTCTCTCCCCACAAGCTGTCACGCTGACAGCTCGTGAGGAGAGGAGAGACGGTAATCGGCATTCCTCGGAGGGGACATGTACACAGATCATCAGAGCACTGATGATCAGTGTGCCCTGATGATCTGTGTAGCCCCAGCAGTGCCACCTGTCAGTGTCCATCAGTGCCAGCTCTCAGTGCTCACCGTGCCACCTGCCAGTGCTCATCAGTGCCACATTTCAGTGCCCATCAATGCCACATATCAGTGCCCATCTGAGCTGCCTTTCAGTGTCGCCCATCAGTGCCACCTATCAATGCCAGTCAGTGCCACCTATCAGTGCTGCCTATCAGTGCCACCTATCAGTGCCAGTCAGTGCTGCCTATCAGTGCCGCCTAACAGTACCAGTCAGTGACACCTAACAGTGCCAGTTAGTGCCGCCTATCAGTGCCACTTATCAGTGCAAGTCAGTGCCATATATGAGTGCTGCCTTTCAGTGCCCATCAGTGATGCCTGTCAATGCCCATCAGTGCCTCCTCATCAGTGCCACTGATCAGTGTCCATCAGTGCAGCCTATCAGTGCCCATTAGTGCAGCCTCATTAGCGCACATCAGTGAAGGAGAAAAATCACTTATTTAAAAAATTTTGGAACAAAAACTAAGAAAAAACTTTTTTTTTTAAATTTTCAGTGGTTTTTGGTTTGTTTAAGAAAAAATAAAAACCCAGAGGTGATTAAATACCACCAAAATAAAGCTCTATCTGTCACAAAAAACAATTATAAAAATGTCATATGGGTACAGTGTTGCATGACCGCGCAATTTTCATTCAAAGTGTAACAGCGCTGAAAGCTGGAAATTGGCCTGGGCAGGAAGGGGGTATAAGTGCCCTGTAGGCTAGTGGTTAACACCCAGTGTGCAAGGTGCCCAAGGAGTAACATCAGTAGTGGTGTCATTGCTATATTTTTCTGTTATTACTACTACTTTTGTTTTTCTTAATATAACTCCCTATATATGTTTCAGTGTGGCTGATTTCATTTCATGCATCTCTTAGCTTGCAAATGTGTGTTGCATTCCCCAAACATCAACTTGCTCCTGCCAGATAAATGTTTGATTGTTTGTATGCTCTGTATTTTTTTTTTCTTTCCCAAGTGGAAAGAGCTGTTACAAAATAGTTCATTTGTGTGTGCTAGTTTTCATACAGCAGGGATTCCAAGTTACAGTATGTGCTCCTTTGTAAAGATTGGCATGTCTCACAGGGCTGGGCTCTCAGCACGCTTCTCTACTGCTGACCTTTTGATTTTGTAGTAGACATAAAAAAAGAAACAATATATCACTACCTCGTGAGGACATGTATTTTTTGTGAGTGTTGTACTATGTTAATCATTGACAAAAGTAGAAGTTAGGATTTAGGGTAATACTATTTATTGACTAACTAAATAGACTGTAATACAATCTTTCTGGACACGCCGGCAATTTTGCTTGAACAGAATGTCAGCATGCCTCAAGAGAATGCACTACAATCAATCTAGTTAGCCAATAAGTATTAAAATGTGTGTGCATCATAATTTCTAATAGTACTTCAATGTAACTTGTCAACATTTTCAGGAAATTTCAGAACTATAGGTATCAAATATGAAGGAAGTATAGGTGGAGTGTTATTTTCCAGCGGAAAATTGATGAAATTGATGATCACTAGAACAAAAAAGATATTTTATTGGGAATGACACTAGAACAAAAAAGATATTTTAGTTGTAGGTGGTGTCTGCAAGGCTGAGTCAGCCTCTGGTTTCTTGTATGCTTTGAATACGTCAACAGCAAGAATTTGTGCCATAATGCTTGACCCTGATTTTTCCCACCTGGGAATTTTGGGTGTTCCTGCCCTCCTTTGTATATTCTAGTTCCTATTACGTTCTTCATAATAAAAATCTGAATGTCCAGCAGAGAGAGTGAGCCCCTCATAATGTCCACAGCAGGGGTGCATAACTGGTGAACAATATCACCCAAAGAGCTACTCTTTTTCTGTCCAGTAATCCAATAGAAACAAATGTATACTTTGAAGTAATGCTGGGTTTACACCAACAATTCAGTATTCACTAGCCTATTACGTTATCACAGACAATTCCTTTATAAGCACTTTGAAAAACAATTTTTTTTCTGTTTTTCTACTGCATTTTCTGGCTTCTTGTGCGCCACTCCCCTGAACTCCCTGGTGGGGAACATGTACTAATAACAGAATTTTCATTCATTAGATTATATTCCTCAGGACTACATGTCCCACAATGCCTAGCTTCAGGAAGTATGTGTTCACAGTGATTCATAAAATTATAAAACATGCAGGCAAATCAAGGGTGTCTTGGGGGTGGCTCCATGGGACCCTGTAAAGGAAAGGAGCCACTCTAAATCCGCATATTGCGGCCAGCCCTCCGATTCAGATAGGAATGAAACTTTACATCGTGGAGTGTATACATTATTAGTTAAGGAGCATTATTTCAAATGCTGAAAAAGTGTGCTATAATATCACTTTAAGGTTTGGCTTACACCTAACATTTAATAACACATGTTGTCACACTTTGGGAGCCTGTAGAAATCATTGGAAGCACATGAAAACACTTGTTAAATCACGTTAACACACCTGAACGTGTAAAAAAAATGTTAGGTGAATGTCATATTTACTGCTTTAAAAATGTATCCTTACAGGTGAAAATCAATCCTAAGACATGCATGTTGACATGCATTTTAACAGAAGTTTCATGCACTTTTATTGTTTTCTTTGCGACTCTCTGCACTCATTCACCTGCATTTACCACAAAGGTGTGAACCTAGCCTCAATAACACAGAATAGAGATTTTTCACATTGAAGCTGGTGACAATTCAGTAAAGTCTATTGCAATTTTATGGCGTTTAGAAGAATATGCAGACAAGAAAACATATGATAAAAACATTATTAGGGAAAAGTTGTTTTTTCTGTGATATCTGTACAGTGCTATTCATTTTCCACTTCACAACTCACAAATAAACCCACATTTTTAATCAGATATCATCCATTTCTGTCATTGTGCTGTGCTTGGAGTAGATTATTAAAAGTGTTGCCAGTGTGCAGGTGGAGTTTTCATTCGCCGTATTTTTTCATGGATTTCAGTTTACATGATCTGAGATTTTGTCTGTGTTTGGAGTGATTTTGGCTCTCAAATCCATAAAAAAAATGCAAAGAAATGTTATTAAAGATGTTTTTGAAATCCAAGAATTTGTACACTTCATTATACTGTAGGATCCATGTAGTATGCATGGTTCTTTAGTAGCATGTGTTGCTTTGTAGTGTGTCCATTAGATTAAAATAACGCAGGTCACATGACTGATACGGTGTCGTTCCCCACTTCCTTTGCATCATTCTCATTTCTGGAATATGTTACTCTAATACTTTTCCTTTTGATGTTCTTGTTTGCTCTAGCTATAAGATTACCGCTGTAATGTGTGAATAGGTTCCAAGCAGCTGAGCATTACTAATAGGAAGATTGGATGGGGGGGGTTGTCACAAATTATGCAGATCCATCATTTTTTAATTAGGTAGGTACAGAAGACTTCACCCTAATTTATAGGCGTTCTTAGGAGCTTTTGACCTTGGCCATTAAGTTTGTTGTTATCCATCCATAGTGTAGTTGTTTCATTTGACTCATGGGAACCACGTTGAATTTAAAATGTTAATACATGCAAACAAAACAAAAAATCAGTTATCACATTTACTTACATTATGGAAAGTCCATTATTATTGTAGCTGTTGTGTTGTTCTTTTATCAGAATTTTTTTTTTTTTTCATGATGCTGACTGTTATTGCAGTGTCTACATTCACTAACAGGAACCCTATGGAGCCACATCTTCCCCACAACCTTCAAGGACGACAGTGAAATGCAAAGCCACTCTGTGCGCACACAGACATGCACAGACGGCACAGTCTGCACATATGACTTTGACTGGCAGTCAATGACATCACTGTTCTGTTCTGGATGTGCAGTGCATCATGGGCCATGTAGCCCCACCATCAGACATGGGGGAAAAATTGGGTGCATGCACTCCAACCAGAAATGAGAGGAAAGCTCATCCCCACAAGATGCAGCAGTATGAAATTTTACAGGGTAAGGCCCCTTTCACACGGGCATTCCATCTGTCCGTTTTTTCATCCGTCTGTTGATGAGTGAAAAATGGACAGCAATGCATTCCTATGGGCAAATTGATGCAAATGGATGTCGTCCATTTACTTGAGTTTATCTGCTTCTGTCAAGGTCCATTTTGTTCTATTTAAATGGAACAGGTCTGCAATTTAGTAAACAATAAAATGCAGCGCTAATTGCCATAATGAATTAAATCAAAATAAAATAAATAAGTAAAATGACAGTATGCATCTTGAAATTCAATAAATGAAAGTTCATAAATGAAAAAAAGCAAGATAAAACGTGACTTCTGTGAAGCGTTAATAAACTGGTACAGCAGAGTAACCGTGACTCATGTGGTGGTGAAACTGAGTGTAGATTACACTAACCAGATAGATGAGGTGCTTGTGCATAGAGTATTTAAGACCTACTCCTGGTACTCTGGATATGGAACACTGGAAAGGTAGCGGGCATCTTTAATGTAGCCACCAGGTGTCATGCATCCAGGATCAACAGAAGGCCTCCATAAATGCCAATATCAGCCACCAGGGGGATCATCCCAGTCATCAGGTATTGGGTAGGCAGGATACGGTGAAAACCTTCAAAGGCCAGGGCTCCCATACAAAAAGAACCCCAGACAAGAGCTTTGATAGTGTAGTAAGCTTTAATGAAGAATATTGCAAATAAAATCAACCACACTTACAAATTGAATCAAAGATGGCCGCCGGCTGTCCTATTCAGCCATGCGGTGTGGTAAAACAGCTGGGGGGCACCTCCCTGACGTGTTTCGTGTGTAATACACATTTTCAAAGGGAGTGCGCAAAGAAAAAAAAGACAGTCTGCAATTTGGTCTCGTTTAAAAAATGTAAGAGGATGAAAAGCGGATGTCAATGGATGAAACACAGATATAAATGGAACACAACTTAATAGAAGATGAATGTTAACTGATGTAAACTAAATCTGTTTTTTCATAGCAAAAGTGTGACTAAACAGATGACACCTGGGCTTAAATTTAACATTTACGAAGTATTTGAAAAGGGACACTTGTTTCCTCTCTTTTTGACTTTGGTTTTTTTGTCTTTTTCTTTTCTCACTTTTTGTTTTTGAGTTAAATTAAACAAAAATCTCTCAGACAGCCTATGCCAATAAAGCCTATTTTTCTTTCTTTAAAGTGATAACAAACTGATTAAAGGAAAAAAAAAAGTTTCCTGCTTCATGGTAATATCATAATG